GTGATTGATTTTGGGAATTTGGAAAGAAAATGTGATCCCTAAAACAAAAGTGCTAGTGTGTGAGTGGATAATGGGGTAACCGAAGTTACCGGGGCACTTTGGGGTGCATCATTTGCATGCATTAGTGCATGATTAATTATTAAATATGATAACCATATTGATATTGTAATTAAAAATGTGTTAGGTGGAACGAGTGAGACAGTCGGTATTGGAACAGGTACGATGACACCAAAAGGATCCACCGATAGGATCGGAGGGCTGTAGATTTGTACATCTGAGGTGGGTGTATATCTTTATATGTTTTGAAAATGCTATTATAAGATGATAGTAAATAATAGAATTTAATAACAATTCTCCAAGACTATATGCTACGTGCTTATGTGATTGGATGATGCTTTGTACTGTGTATTGTGGAATGTGGCGCATTGTTTGAGACAGGGGCATCGATGCCTGGTCACTGGGCGTGCAGTGATATGCTAGCATTGTGATGTTCCCCGGAGGTTCGGGAGACACGGATCCATGTGGGATCGATTATCCGATGAGGGGTAGTATAAATGTGATGTGACTTATGAATTCTTTGGAATTAGATTGATGTTGTTGTTTGATACGTATATCTATGTAGTATCTATGTACTTCAGTGTATTAATATCATTTTCATTTCATATATAGCATGTATATTCATTGAGCGCGTGGTNTTTATATGTTTTGAAAATGCTATTATAAGATGATAGTAAATAATAGAATTTAATAAAAATTCTCCAAGATTATATGCTACGTGCTTATGTGATTGGATGATGCTTTGTACTGTGTATTGTGGAATGTGGCGCATTGTTTGAGACAGAGGCATCGATGCCTGGTCACTGGGCGTGCAGTGATATGCTAGCATTGTGATGTTCCCCGGAGGTTCAGGAGACACGGATCCATGTGGGATCGATTATCCGATGAGGGGTAGTATAAATGTGATGTGACTTGTGAATTCTTTGGAATTAGATTGATGTTGTTGTTTGATACGTATATCTATGTAGTATCTATGTACTTCAGCGTATTAATATCATTTTCATTTCATATATAGCATGTATATTCATTGAGCGCGTGGTTTAGCTCACACCCCTACAACTTCTTCTTTTCAGGTACTATAAAAGAGGATACAGACCGGTCCACTGTCCAGTTGATTGAGTCTTGTGCAACGTTAGTGTGATATCACTTCGGTTGAATGTCAGTATGACTAATTTTTGGGTTGTGTATTATATTTGTGAGAGATTATTATGACAGGTTAATAGTATATATTTGTAAATAGACTCATCAATCATACTTTATGATGTATGTTATGTGGGTGTGAGATTTTGTATATGTCTATAACCTAAAAAATAAATGATTGGTACAGGTGTTTATATATGTTACAAGTTATAAGACAAGTTTTACCGTCATACTTAATAACTAAGGTGATGAGTGGTGTTATTGCACCTGTGGGATTATATCATGTTTGATTAGTCCAGCTTNACCGTCATACTTAATAACTAAGGTGATGAATGGTGTTGTTGCACCTGTGGGATTATATCATGTTTGATTAGTCCAGCTTATAATAATTGTAAACATGTGTATTAAAAATCTAGTTGCATATCATTCTTGGACCGGGATGCGGCGTGACACCTGGGTCCTCGAAATCCTGGCCTAGATGCCCTGTCCTCGACCCCGACTTATACCCTAGCCCNATGTGTATTAAAAACCTAGTTGCATCTCATTCTTGGACCGGGATGCGGCGTGACACCTGGGTCCTCGAAATCCTGGCCTAGATGCCCTGTCCTCGACCCCGACTTATACCCTAGCCCATCTGGCCTGATTACAGAGTCCCCGCACGTGAACTAGTAGGGGCTTGTGCAGCACCCTGAAACTGAAACTGACTTCCCTGGCCAATGGTGGGGGTAAGGAAGAACAAATTAGGTCTGTGGTTGTCCCCCTGATGACTGAGATTGAAATACCCCGTAGCTCTGGGATCCTTACTTCTGAGGACAATCTCGCTTCATGTGACCTGATTGGTGGCATAAGTAGCAAGTCCTTTAACCTGCCTAGTAGATGGTCCTAAAGTTTTCCCCACCTTGGGAGGATCGGCCTTGACCTTGATAGCCGCGGCCCTGTCCCTGGTGTCCCTATGGAGTAGATGTCCATTGTCTCTTCCCCAAACTAGAAGAAGAAGTTTGACCCTCATTTTTCTTGTCCTTAGCACCTGCCTCCCAGATGCTCCTTACGTCATCCACCTCTTTCTCAGTGGTCATTGTCGTCTCAACCGAAGAGTCTAAATCTTGTAGGCGATGACCCACAATCTTCCCCTGGATAGATAATTTCAAACCATCCTCAAACCTCCTCACTTTGGTCATATTTGTGACCACGTAATCATCGGCAAAACTGGCTAACTCAGTGAACTTAGCTATGTATTTCATCACCTTCATAGTCCCTTGTTTCAAATCCAAGAATTTTCGGACTTTAACATGTCGAACAACCGACGGGAAGTACTTGTCCATGAAGAGCTCCCGGAACTCTCCCCATGTCATCGCCTCTAAGTTCTTCAAGGCCCTTGCCTAATCCCACCACATATAGGCTTCTTCTTCTAGCTAGAGTGCAGCTAGTCTTATCTTAGTGGCATCGGATGTGATATCTATGGCCTCAAAGATCTTGTCGACTTGCTAGAACCAATGGTCGGCCACCATCGAATCCGCCCCTCCCATGAAAATCAGAGGCTTGTGTGTCTTATACTTTTGGAGGTTACTTGAGCTCCTTGGCCCACATTAGTGCTAGCTTGTGCAAAAATAGCCGCCATAGTACCAATAGCCTCCCATTTCACAACCCTAAATTGGAAATAAACTTAATTAANTTTTGTCGACTTGCTAGAACCAATGGTCGGCCACCATCGAATCCGCCCCTCCCATGAAAATCGGTGACTTGTGTGTCTTATACTTTTGGAGGTTACTTGAGCTCCTTGGCCCACATTAGTGCTAGCTTGTGCAAAAATAGCCGCCATAGTACCAATAGCCTCCCATTTCACAACCCTAAATTGGAAATAAACTTAATTAAGATGACAAACGTACCTCTTGAAGCGTAATACAACCGTAGAAGGCTCCAATAACACAACTTAAGCTCTAATCCAAACTTTTTCCAAAATTTTGTTTTTGGATTTTCGATTCCTCCTTTTTAGTACGTAGACGTAGCTCTCGACGAGGAGATCGACTTTAATACTTGACTTGAATCGATTGGAGCGACAGAACTCCGTAGATCGTAGAGAGAAATTGAAAACCCTTGTTTTTCTTTCCTTTTCCTCTCTCCTCTTCCAACATAAAGACCCAGCTGATGAATAGGGGAGTAATCTGATTTTTCTCTCCTATTTATACCCTTTAAATNCCTAAGCTCTAATCCAAACTTTTTCCAAAATTTTGTTTTTGGATTTTCAATTCCTCCTTTTTAGTACGTAGACGTAGTTCTCGACGAGGAGATCGACTTTAATACTTGGCTTGAGTCGATTGGAGCGACAGAACTTCGTAGATCGTAGAGAGAAGTTGAAAACCCTTGTTTTTCTTTCCTTTTCCTCTCTCCTCTTCCAACATAAAGACTCAGCTGATGAATAGGGGAGTAATCTGATTTTTCTCTCCTATTTATACCCTTTAAATACTTGGTTTACGTCGCGTCACACGTCTCCCATTCTCAGGTCCATTTTTGCCCCAAAAATACTTTTATTTCAACTTACTTTAAATTATTTTACAACTTTCAAAATTTTATTAAAAATCTCGTTTTTGGGTCACCCCGAGAGCCGACCATCATAAAATGTTAAAAATCCAACTATTTTAAAATTTTACAAAATTTATCTGAATAACTAGATTTCGCGAGACGAATCCAAAGGTGAAGTTCGTTTCGCCATCCAAGTTTTAAAAAAATTCAATTTTTCAACCCGTACTAAAATATCAAATTATNTTGTTTTTAGGTCACCCCGAGAGCCGACCATCATAAAACGTTAAAAATCCAACTATCTTAGAATTTGACAAAATTTATCTGAATAACTAGATTTCGCGAGACGAATCCAACGGTGAAGTTCGCTTCACCATCCAAGTTTTAAAAAAATTCAATTTTTCAACCCGTACTAAAATATCAAATTATCGTTTTACCCTTTTTCATACAAGTTCAAATTTACCCATAGGCAACCCAAGGTATTAAGTATATCCCCCCGCACTTGGGATTGAAACCTCAACATTAGTTAAACCAAGGATTCAAACCCTTTTTTTTAGTATAGTAATATAAATTGGAACTTTCAATAGATTTTGGCTAACCGTATTTTTGTGTCTTATNCGAATTTTGCATAGGCAAGCCAAGGTATTAAGTATATCCCCCGCACTTGGGATTGAAACCTCAACATTAGTTAAACCAAGGATTCAAACCCTTTTTTTTAGTATAGTAATATAAACTGGAACTTTCAATAGATTTTGGCTAACCGTATTTTTGTGTCTTATAATTTTTTGAANCATAGGCAACCCAAGGTATTAAGTATATCCCCCCGCACTTGGGATTGAAACCTCAACATTAGTTAAACCAAGGATTCAAACCCTTTTTTTTAGTATAGTAATATAAATTGGAACTTTCAATAGATTTTGGCTAACCGTATTTTTGTGTCTTATAATTTTTTGAAATATTATCACATTAACAATTATTTGACACAAACTAAACAGATACACTTGTTATATCCATTTAATAAAAGAATCATTATGAATTTAACTATGACTTTTATACGATACCAACTTGATTATACGTCATATCAAGCAAAAATGAAATGATAATGTAAAATACGACCTTGCCGAAAGAACAATGTAAAATACAACCTTGTTTAGCACGAAAATCATTGATGCANGCTATATCCATTTAATAAAAGAATCATTATGAATTTAACTATGGCTTTTATACGATACCAACTTGATTATACATCATATCAAGCAAAAATGAAATGATAATGTAAAATACGACCTTGCCGAAAGAACAATGTAAAATACAACCTTGTTTAGCACGAAAATCATTGATGCAATGGTGGAAATCAAACATGTAGAGGTAGAACACTGTCCTTGAGCATGCAANAATGTAAAATACAACCTTGTTTAGCACGAAAATCATTGATGCAATGGTGGAAATCAAACATGTAGAGGTAGAACACTGTCCTTGAGCATGCAAAAGATGACATTCACCGACCAGTCTTTTCTCGAACTCCATGAGTAGTGTTACTGAGACCAAAAAAATTGTCTTAATTTACTAATGTAATGATGTGTCAGTGACATAATTCAATGATAATATCATGACTAACTCTTGGATTTCTTTATTGAAACTTCATCACTTGACACATCAGCAAAGTATTTAAGTTTTTTAGACCCCGATGCCAATAGCATTATTCTTTTTGTAGTATCCCATCAAGTTGAAGGCCCAAGAGCTGCAGATTCTTAATATGCAGTTGGAACCCAGACGAAGGTTTCAAAAATTTCAAGGATCCAAGTACCCAAGCTTCTCTGCCCTGTCCCAGCAGAGGGAGAACTAGGACAAAAGCACACCTTACAGGTCGTCCAAGTTAATCATCAGGTCACTGTTCCAGTAGATCTCTGATGACTCCTCAAAACCAACTTCTGAAAGGTTATTATCAGGGTCTGCCAAGGCTTTGTCTAACGAATCTGCTAAATCTCTTTCCCACAGTCCCAATCTACAAACCTTCTTGTAAGTTTCATAACCAGCCGCCCTAAGGCCATCCAAGATCATCTCCCTCAGAGATTCAGAGCACACGCCTTCAGAATCCATGGCACCAAGGAAACTTCCTGACAAACCAGGATTCCGAAAAACAACAATGGCACAACTCTTATCAAGTAGTCGAACATCAAATTCATTAGAGAACACGTCATGGGAACCATGTAGCATGCTCTTCAGCATTCCGGCTGAGATCCCACCTCTAAAGCCCCACAAGAAGACCAAATCTTCACTGCTAATGTTTCTCATATTTTCAGTCCACAATCCAACTTCCCCGTCGGTAGAATCTTGGGAATTTCTGGAGCAAGGATTGAAGATATTTGCAAAGCCTTCAAGGGCTGAAGATAAATGACCACTATCAGCATCATGAGCTTCCGGATTGACTTTTAGTATAGAGCAAAGTTTAGCAAATAACTGGCTTATTCTCAGAACATTATGCCCATGGGTCTTGCCTTCACTCTCCTTCACTGTTGAAGTCCAAATATTACCAGTCAGGTTTGCTATGAAGCAGTGGAGCATAAAATTACTGGAGGCCTCATGCAAAATCCACGAGAACAAGGTCAAGTGGCAACACAACTAATTGACAATCAGCAAATTTCTAATTGTCTAAAATTTCAGAGACCTGGCCGGCAGACTGCCAGGTCTTCCTCATTTCTAGTGTTGCAACTTGACCTAACTTNGACAATCAGCAAATTTCTAATTGTCTAAAATTTCAGAGACCTGGCCGGCAGACTGCCAGGTCTTCCTCATTTCTAGTGTTGCAACTTGACCTAACTTTTTCAGGGATGATCCTTGAGAGCAATAATCATGAAAACATTTTCTCAACCAAGCCATTAAGAATGGTTTGTGTATTATGTGTATAACATATGACAGTGACTTGCCTTGATGAGGAATCTCCAAATCTATAGGCACAAAGAACCGCCTTTTTACACAAGAAATAGCAGCAGGTAAATTGGTCACTTTTTTCAGTGGACCAAGTTCCTTCATAAGATGGTTGACATCTAGTATGTGAGGAAATACCAAAAGCAAGGAATGCCTGAACTCATCCAACGTGGGAGGTAATGGAGCCAAAAATTTGGAATGGATGGACGTAAAATCTGCATTAAACAAGAACAATATTATCAAATCCACAACAATAGAGAGTCTAAAATTACTGGAAGATTTTCATATGGGATAGACCATTAAGTGCGTTGTGGGCAACAACAGGTTTCTCAGAAGTGGAAATCAAATCGATCACCTCACGAAAGCCACGAACACGCTTGTTTTGTTCATCTTCCATTTTCTGAAGCTCCTTCTAAAATTTAAAAAAACATTTGAATAAAGTGAGTGAAGCATAAACAAGTCTAATCACTGAGGGTTAAGGTTTAAACTCAATACCTCAAAAAGCTCCCTATCTTCTTTCGAACTGGTCAAAACAACTCGAACAGCCTGGGTTCCACCTCCTTTGGCTGGGATTAACAGAGGGACCACATCATCAGAGAACCCCCTCAGCATCTGCAGCCCACCCCCAACACCCAAAAGATATTAACATTTAACACATACTATATAGTACCAGATAAACAATTCCATCAACTTGAATGTATGGTAGCAAAAATCAGTGTTGCTTCCATACAACCATTTAGTTTATTCGATGGCTGATTAGTTTACCTGTAGTGCAAGCTGCACTTGACGTTCACTGCAAACATCTATAATCAAACATGGCCTCGAGCCATACTCTTCACTTCCTAAGACAAGTTTCCTCAGGGATTTAACTAAAGCATCTGCATCAGACAAGAAACATTAGAGAAAAAAATCAGATAATACATTGAAGTAGGGCATCATTTTTCTCACCGTCTGTCTTGGTGACGGAGTCTTTACATGCATTTATCCATTGCCTAACTCGGGATTTAATCCTTTCTATGAATAACGAATCAGCAACTGAAAGGGTTGACAAAGATTGTATCACATAACTACTACGTGTTGCATATCCAATACGATCCTTTGCAGCTGATTCCTGTGCCCTGGATAAGAATGATATGCCTGTCAAATGAGAAAAAATTCATTCGATTTAGAATATAGACTTCCCAAATGGAGAAGAGTAACCATCCCCCCCCCCCCAAAAAAAAAAAAAAAAAAAAAAAGAAAGAAAAAGAAGTTAGGTAGACAGTCTTTTATTTTGGTTTTTATTTTTAATTTTTTGTCTTTGTATTAGTTTTTGCTTTCAATGTAGTTTTTTTAACTGAAATTGGTCAACAATGTCTTGGTTAACATTATTAAGAATAAAATTGGTATTAAGAGAAACATCTTTCATGACATAATTATTCTCTTCTTTGATAGTGACATCCATTGCAACAGGGTAGTAACTAAAACGAGTAAATAAGCTGCAAGGGATGTAGTGTAATTTCATACAATGTAGGCAGCACCATTATATTTAACTATAACCACAGGGGGCATCACTGTAATTTATCCTTACAAGAAAAATAGAATGAATCGTGTGACAGAGCAAGTATAACACCATTTTATCTCCAAGGTCATAAAACACTGGGCATCTACTTACCTCTCGCTGTAATCGTGTAACATGTATTCACCAGCCCGAAATTTTTAGGCGGCAACATTACTATTATGAAATAAATTATATATCTAAGATACTCTGGGGCATTGGTTCAATCAATTAAAGTAACTCACCATCATATATGCATGCATTAAAATCAAAACCTTCCTGGGCCATAGAGGTCAAATATGATGATTGACACGAAAAACTGTAAGAAGGCATCCCTATCTTCAACTCATCCCTAGGGAACAAATTAAAGTTGTACCTGCGCCAGAACATCAGAATATTAATTACTAAATGCCTCTCTTTTTCTCTCTCTCTCTATACACACACACATACAAGGATAACAAAAAATTTATCCAAAAAGACATTGCATGGGGTGTACATGAGTTGTCCAAAAAAAGTACCAGTAGACTCTAAAAATCAAGACAAAAGACTTTCCAAATTTGTGTCCTAATCATAATACTAAAAAAGATCTCAACATCAGGTAGACCAAGAAATTCGCAACAGACGACCCGACACTATAAGTTCTACATGATTAGGCTTAAGCTGAATAGCCCCACGATGAAGCAGTTGGGCATAATTGCCATAATATGATCCTTGATCAATTGACCCAGTAGATATAGGAAGTGGCCAAAGATAGGATTATTCTAAATTGCAATAGTCTACAACACCATAATTCACTTTCTGATTTAAGCTTACAAAATGTGGGAATTTTATTCATAGCATTTCCCATAACTTTGTGCCTTCAAAACTTAAATGTTTTGTAGCTAGGACATCGAGTTAAAAGGATGAGATCACTCTAAACTCCAGCATAACAACAATCCAATGATCATAAATCTTACAGGAAGACAAAACTGGTGGGCCATTTTGAAATTAAAACTGATTCACATCTTTATGGCTTGCAACTGTTTATACTTCAAATAGTAGGCTTATGCACATGCTTGGGTGTGTTTTGTGAGCGAATCAATCAATGATATAATTAGTAATCTGAATTTTCTTTATCACCTTCAGCACTACAACAAGTAACATAAAAAGCTCTCCGCATTTTAAGGACTTATTAACATTTATTAACTTTCACTCATCTAGATGCCTGGTTATCATTTACTCATGTTGGGATTGGAAATATGAAAATGAATTTCACCCTTGCAGAAATTTTTGCAAATCGTCCTCTTATCAGGTTAAATCTGTAACATAATTTTGGTAAATGCAGGAATAGCTGTAGAGATCGAAAATCAAAAAAAAACCAGACTATGATCAGTTTTGTTTTCCAAGCTCGATTATTCACCTGAAGGAATAGATTGGAGATGACATGGCTTACGGAACCAAAATTAGTCAGGCTCAAGGGAGAAGTGTTTTTGACCTATAATGGAAGATGCAAAGAGCCGTGATCATACTGGATACTGAAGAAAAATATGGTTACTTATAATTTAACAATACATATAGCCCTATAAAGAGAGAAAAGATACATGAAGGAGGCCAAAAATACTAGGACAGTGCTTATAATGATTAGTATTTGTGGTCATAACAGTGAGCCCAATGCAAATAAAAGGTTAATTGCACTGAAGTCCCCAAAAAATGAGGTTTGTCTCATTTTAGTCCCTAATATTTCAATTACATCATTTTAGTCCCAAAAGAATTAAATATATTTCTATATGGGCCCTTGAGTAGAAAGCGTTCAGATTGCTAACGATTTTTTATCATAAATTTATCACATAATACCTAAATAAGGGAAAAAAATAATTTTGATAACTATTAGCTAAATTTTTACCTAAATTTTGGTCAAAAAGCTATCCAAATTACACAGTTTTGATCATGAACTATCCAAATTTTGGTTAAGACTTAAAACTTAAGAGTTATTCATATTATACATTTTTTGTCAAGAGCTACTCATTTTTGGTTAAAAACTATCTAAATTATTTTTTGTCCATATTTAGATATCACGTGACAAGTTTATGAAAAAAAAATATTAGCAGTTTTGATGTTATTTACTCGAGGGACCAAAATATGTTCAATACGTCAAAGACCAAAATATGTTAAATACTTCAGGGACTAAAATGCAACAATTGACATATTGAATACCAAAATAAGGTGGTGTTTGATAAAACTGAAAGTTGAATACTAAAAACTGAATATTGAATTTTAAATGTTGAACGCTGAATTTTTTAATTTGTCGACTATTTGGTATCAACTGAAATTTAAGTGTTAAATTTAATCAAATTGTTTGACAAATATAAAGACCTGAAGTATGAAAATTATTATTATTCTACTTTTGCCTTTTTCTTTAACCATCTATCCACAATTACCTTATTTTTATCACCATTATCACAATGGTGGTGCTAGTGGTGGCGACGATGATAGTGGTTGTGGCAGCAACACAATGGTGGCGGCGACATAATGACGGTAGTGGTGGTGGTGGTGGTGGTGGTGGTGACAACTGTGGCATAATAGTAGTGATGGCGATAGCGATAGTGATAGCGATAGTGGTAGTGGCAACAACATTATGGTGGTGGTGGTGGTAGCAGCGACACAAAGTTAGTAACGATGGTGATAGCAGCAATGACAGTGGTAGTGGTGGTGACGGTGGTACAATGGTGGTGGTGGCGGTGACATAATGGTAGTGGTAGTGACAGCAAAACAATGGTGGTGGTGGTGGTGGTGGCGATGGTGCTGGTTGCGGCAAAAGTAGTGGTGATGGTAACGGTGACACAATAGTAATGGTGGAGATGACATAATGATATTGGTGGTGACGGCGACGATACAATAATTGTGACTATGGTGGTGGTGGTGGTGATGGCGGTGGACGTCGTGGCGACAATGGTGGTGGTAGTGATGGTAGTGGGGGGGGTTGTGGTGGAGGCAGTGACACAATGGTAGTGGTGATGGTAGCGATGGTGACGGTGACGCTGGCACAATGGTCATGGTGGTGGTGGTGGTGGTGGTGACGATGGCGATGGTGATGGTGATGGTAGCGGTGGTACAATGGTGGTAGTGGAGGTGATAGTGTTGGTGGTGGTGGTGATGACACAATGGTGGTGAGGATATATTTGTTTATTATGAGAAATTGATCAAGTCCTTACTAATTAATATTTTCAGTATTAAGTAATAAATAAGTAGTTTGCTAATTAAAATTTTAGTTCATTTTTAAGAAGTGCTTAAAATATTAAGTAATATGAGTTATAGGTCGTCAAACAAATTTAATTTATTAAGTGATTAAAATATTCAGTTTTAAACTTTAAGTGGTGTTATCACAAACTCTATACTTTGAATGTACATCTAGTGTAATTAACCCACAAATAAATGCATTCTGAAAGTATGCTCTTCCCTTTGAGGATCTACCGTCTTTAAGATTACACATTCAAACAGAAAATGGAGTAATATACTCAGCAGAGAAGAATTAAAACAACCAAAACAAGAATAAATGTGTAAATGCGCAAATGTATCTATGTGTATTCGCCGAATTTATCTAGGGTTAAAACGAGTTTGGGGACTCACGGATGAGCGATGAGCTTAGAAGCCCTAACGGAGAAAGGGCAAACGGCAAACTGAAGGATTTGAAACCTCTCGGCGGCGTACTTGGCCTTCAAGTAGGCGGTTTCGGAGGTGTCGACGGGAAGAACTCGGTGCCAAGGAGATGAATATGAACCAGTGGTCTGCATCGACACAGCGACGAAACGAGAATCGCGGAGGTGGGACTTGATATCTTCGAGTGAATCGGGGAAATTGGACTTGGTCACTTGCTTTATGGTCCATCGGTTGTGGTGGTGGACGGAGGAGGTGGTTTTGGAAATCTTGGTACAGAGATAGCGTCTCTGCAACAGTGGATACCAAGACGCCATTTCTGCTAGTACCATCTTCAAGATTGGAAACTGCGCTTAGCGGAGTATAGAACCGGGCGGTTCGTAAAGCATTATGCCGCCTCTCCTCAGGCGAATATTGGCCCTCACTAATCAGAGATTCAGAATGGGCTATTTTTGATCTAATAAAATAAAAATAAATTTTTTCTACTTTTTTAAAGTTATATTTCAAATTTTTAAAAACTTTTAAAATTTGACAAATAAAATTAAAAAATTTTAATTATCTTATCTTAGAAAATACTAAAATTAAAAAATTTTGATTTTACATTAGATTTAATTTTGTGACATGCATATGTATTAATATATATATACATACATATATATATAATACTATAAAGTCACAATATGAAGCCTAGTTTATACTATTCCTACACTGTTTTGATACACTTTAAAATATTTATAAAATCAATATAGTGTATCAAAACAGTGAAAGAGTAACAAAAATTAAGATTTAAGAATTACACAAATTTAAAATGTATCAAAATAATGTTAGGATAATAGAAATTAGGTTTCATAGTGTGACTTCGTAGTATTATGTGCGTGTGCGTGTGCGTGAGTGTGTGTGTGTGTATATATATATATATATCTATACGTGATCAAATTAAATCTAAAATTAAAATTCTTTAATTTTAGTATTTTTTGAGATAAGATAATTAAAATTCCTTAATTTTAATTGTCAAATTTCAAAAGTTTTCAAACACATATCCTTAAAAAAAAATAGAGAGAATTTATTATGGGTTTTGATTATTCTAAATTTTAGGTTTTTGTTTTGTTAGAACTCCTATATATATATGTGTGTGGGATTTTTTTTTAAATCTTTTTTAGAAAACTTACTTCCAATAAAAGGGTATTCTAAGTCTTTAAGTGGACTTTTTTATAAAACATTTTTTCCAATATACTTTTTGACAATTAAGTCTAATTTCGTGTGTCGGCCAGTTTCCCTTCATGAACTTATTTGATGATAAGTCTATTAACGAAACTTGTTTAATACTAAATTTATTTTGATTTTTATTGCCTAAAATACTCCCAGTAGTTATATTTAATTAAAAAAAATTAAAAATTAACAAATTCTAAATTTTAATAATTTGACTAATATTAAAATATTCTCTCTTATATATGCATTAAAAACAAAAAATAGTAACATTCAAACACAAAAAAATATCATTTAAACACAAAAAATAATAACATTTAAATACAAAAAAATAGTAATATTCAAAAATAAAAAATAATAACATTAAATATTAATATTTAAAAAAAAATAGTAATATGCTCAACAATAAAAAAAAATAGTAACATTGTCAAAAAAAATAGTAATATAAAACATTCAAACTCAAAAAATAGTAATAGTAAAAAAAATTTGGTAACATTCAAACACAAAAAAATAGTAACATTGAATACTAACATTTTGGAAAAATAAAACAAAAAATAGTAAATTTTAATATTAATATTTTAAAAACTATTAACATTCAAAATAAAAAAATTGTAATATTAAATATTAATTAGAGAACAATTAGTAACATGGATAGTTGTTAATGCATAAACGAAAAAACAATAACATGCTTATAAATAAAATTAGCAACATAAAAAATTGAACAAAATTGAGGAGTTAAACTAGTTAAGCATTTTTAATCAATATAAATAGATGATGCATAGGCAAAAAATTAGTAGCATGTTCAACAAAAAAAAAATAGTAAAAAATATTCAAACTTCAACACAACCCTCAATCATTAAATTACTAAACTCTCCCAGCATGCCTGATAGCCTATCAAGCCCAAAAATGGCCAACTCTTCAACCTTAGTCTTCAACAAAGAGAGTTTTATGTTTACTCTGGCGCTAGAGCTTAAAGTCTTGTCCTAACTTTGCTTATTGTGCATTTCAATGTCTTCATGACCTCTACCAATTCTATTCCTTCATAGGTAAATCTCACAAAAGATCATACCCCACAAAGAATCTGCCACCAAAGGTAATTTAGATTCTATAGGTAATTCAGAGTTGAAATCTGTTGCCGAAGAATCTAGTGGCAATTTTGATCCCGAAATAAAAAAGGAAATTTGAGAGGTGAGAAAGGTGAAGAGGCGATGAGAGAGAAAGATGAGTGATTGATGGAAAAAATCTTAATGAATTTGAATTTTAAATTTTATGAAAAAAATCTTATTGATAGGTCTTCATTGAGCATGTGAATCAAGGTGTAACTGATTCTCAATTTGGAAATTGCTTTGAATATTAAAATAAGGGCATTTTAATATTAAAAAAATTATGGACTTAAATACTTATTATTGAGGTAAAAATAAGATTTATCCCCAAAAGAGTTTCCTTGACAGACCAAATTCATTAAAAGTNAATATTAAAAAAATTATGGACTTAAATACTTATTATTGAGGTAAAAATAAGATTTATCCCCAAAAGAGTTTCCTTGACAGACCAAATTCATTAAAAGTCCATTATGGAGGACTCAACCCCAATTTTAATTAATTAAAACAATGGGTAAATTGCACAAATAGTTTCAAAGATTTACTAGNTTTTAATTAATTAAAACAATGGGTAAATTGCACAAATAGTTTCAAAGATTTACTAGTAGTGGAGCTTTGATCCTTATTTAGTCCACAAAATTTTACCATCAGAATAATGGGATTGTTTAGGCTCGCTTAAAACTTTTAGGTCCATTTGAACCTAGGTTTATTGAACGACTTTTCCATCAATTTTTTTGGGCAAAACTAACTTTTATCAGCACTAAGAAAAATCTAAAAAATGAGGTTTATCCAAAGGCTTCTAAGGAAAATTGATTTTTTTGGAAACACTCTAACCGGTTTCAAGAGTTTTTTTAACTCTGATTTTCTCATTTCAGTTTTCAAATCTCTATTTCGTATCCAAAAAAGTCAGCTCCAAACCAAGCCAAAATAATACCTGACAATTAGACAAAAAACTATCATGTGACTCGCACATGGGAATATTAAGCACAACCATTGAGATTAATTTTTGTCTGAATTTGGTTTACTAACAAGAGATGTGTGAATGTCATGGTGGTGGTTGAAGGGGGTTGGGTGGTGATTAGTGGGTGTAATCGGATGTTTGGAAAGTGAAGGTGGTGTGTGTGGGTTGTGTGTGACGGTATGTTCAAGGTGGTAATGAAGAGTGGGTTGTAGTGGTGGTGGTGGTGGTGATGGAAGATGATGAGGTGAGTTGGTTATGAAAGGAGTAAGAGAAAAATAGAAATGGCCGATTGTAGAGAAAAGTTGCAGGGGGTGGTAGAAGGATAAATGTGGTATTTTAAAATCAATGACAGCCAACATTTTATTTTTGGGTGGGCACAAATATGAATAAAAAAATTTCACTGATTGATATAAACTATTAAAGGTTTTGATATATTTTTAAACACAAACATAATAAGTATGTTAGTAATCAAAAACTAAAATACTAGAAAAAAATGTCTAACATTAGTTAGTCTTACTAAGATATGAAATAAAAAAAAAAAAAAGGACACAATATTTATATCATAATCATAGTGCATTCAACTCAATCACCTACCCAAATAATGCTTAATGTCATATCATGACCCAAAAATTATCTATTTCTATGTAAAATTTTGTAGTAATTTTTTTCTTGATGTACATAATCAAAAAGCTCACAAATAAATCACCATCTATTATATTAAAATCATATTTTTCATAATATATATAATCAAAAATAATCCCCAAATTTAACAAGCAACACAAATCTAAAGGACCATTTAAATTCGACACATAACTCATGTATTTTTTGACTTGTTAAAACATAAAAATATAAGATGTAATTATATTTTTCAAGACACCAAAATTCAAGGGTCAAAAGAAATATTGAAAAATTAAAAGGGACCTTAAGGGAGAATATCTTATGAGCATGCGTAATAGACAAGGCAAATGGCAGGGAGGGCACTAGCCCACCCTGGCCTATGAGGCCCTCCACCATTGGGTATATATTAGGGCGTAACTCGGACGGATTGGATAGTGAACTCTATTTTAACCTTTAATTATATAATTTTTAATTTTAACCTTAACTCTAATCCTAACCCTAACCCTAACCCTACCTCGGGTTGAGAAACTCAACCCGAACTCTACTCGAGTTTAATTCGGACGGGCTCGGGTTGAATTCAAGTTGATTTACCGGTTTAATTCGGGTTGAGTTCGGATAGAGCCCAAATAGGCTTGTTGTTCTAAACTTAATACATATATTACATAATATTCATCTAAATTAACAACCAATAACTTCAACCAAGTTTTTAGCAGTGCTAATATTAGAACAAAAATGAAAATGAAAGAGAGAGACTGAGAACGATAAAACAAAAATGAAAAACTAGTGCTAATGCTTTATATATATATAATTTTTTTTTAAAATTTGTCAGGTTCGGGTTGAACCCGTGAATCTAAAACCTTAACCCGAGCTCAATCCAAATTAAATTCAGGTTAAGATTTTTTGACCTAAACCCAACCCAAGTATTAAAAATTATTGCCCAAACCCTAATTTTTTCGGGTTGGGCTCGGGTTGCACCCCTACTGTGTATATATATATATATGAAGTAGAATAAAGTGCAATAAAATTTTAAATACTACATGTCTTTGAAAATAAATATATTCAGAAGGGGTGTTGATGAAATTTTCAAAAATAAAAAATAAAAAACTCATCGCTCAATATCACTTTTATAATATACCAAATTGGCCATATGTGTAGCACATTCGACTTGACGTAGTCCAAAAAAATTTGGTACCATATTTGTATTGATATATAATTATAGATTTTAGTTTGATTCATTTGTAGACAATGTTTATTGAATAGTTACGTGATATAAATTAATAAAACAAAGTACTTTATAAACGTCAATTTTTTATTGGATAAAAAATATAATATTAAAATGTTACATTACACTCAAGTGATACCATGGACGAGTTATAAATTCAGACATTCTGAATTCGAATCTTGATAATTCATTGGAGTTAGACATGAATACGCTAGTCCCGATATGAATGGTCTGTCTTTGACTGGACTAGAAAAGAGATTAATTGAGGTGTGTGTAAATTGATTCAGACACCTCTAACCGTTGAA